ACCACCCTGCCTATTTCTGCCGTGAAGCAGTAATGCGTTTCGGTTTGTAGGGTGGGGCAGCCGTTGTAACTATACCGAGACCTTAGAACTTATATCTCAAGGTGGGTGGCGCATTTACGTTGTAGATGTCTATGGGCTCCAGTGACCACTTAACACCAGGTGGGCTGTGAGCTCGTCCACCAATATAAGCAATAAAAAAAATGCAATAAAAAATTACACACTATTTATGAAATACTGATAAACGTCAATTGGATTGACTTGATTTAAGCACCAAAACAAGTCAATGTTAATAAAGAGCAAAAAATCGGCGTCCGTAGTACATCGCGTTTGTGGAGTGACCGGTAGAAAGTAGCTTACCTCCTGCGCTACTCTTGATTCAAGTGAACATGAACAAGTTACGACTCGACTGACCCACACATACTCACACGCCGACAAACGCAACGCAGACACAGACGTTAAATTGTAAACAATCTGTAACGTGTTTGTAATACGACATTGAGTATCTGTACTATGGCATCAAGAAAAATGCCTCTGGCTAGCGAATACAATATACTGAACGTAATTTTGCAATTGGCCTTTAATTTTTCTGATACTAGTATGGGGTATTGCACATCCGACAAATCTGTTTTTGGTGTTTTGTATTTTTTCTATATCATTAATTTAGATTATTGTTTCATTGAGGTTCCCAAATTAAGTATTATCTTGGGATTAATACAGTGCAGTAGATATTTAAATCTAAGAGACTGAGCAACAGAGAGGGTATAATATATAACTCGGAAAACTAAAACATAGTTTTTTTTATTGCTTAGATAGGTGGACGAGCTCACAGCCCACCTGGTGTTAAGTGGTTACTGGAGCCCGTAGACATCTACAACGTAAATGCGTCACCCACCTTGAGATATAAGTTCTAAGGTCTCAGGTATAGTTACAACGGCTGCCCAACCCTTCAAACTGAAACGCATTACTGCTTCACGACAGAAATAGGCAGGGTGGTAGTACCCACCCGCGCGGACTCACAAGAGGTCCTACCACCAGTAACATAGTAGTTCAGTCTCAGAAAAAGGGGGGAACGAGTGAGCTTATTACGTTTGAAAGTTATAACTACCTGAACGATGACAAGTAACCGAAATGACTACATAGAAAAAAATTATATCGCATGAGCATCTCGAGATCGAGCGTTTAAACAATTTTTTGTGCAGTCCATTTCATTGTGTTGCGTCAATGAACATGGCCTGTACAAAGTACGGACTCACACAAAGAAACTTGGGAGCACAGGTCAGCCCGGCACATCGTTTTTTTTTTTTTTTTTTTCGTTTCAGAACTGGTTTCTGGAACGATAAAATGGGTATGACTCAGGTATCAGGTAGACATCGAACCGGCACTGTTTATGTTGTTCTTACATAACACTTATTTCGTATTTAGTTCCTCTTCGGTTTATTGTATCGTTCAAGAAAATTCACTATCCATGTATCACGTTTCCCAAATTTGAAATTATTAAGAAAAAAATAACTAAAACAATAATTAGGGGGTGCTTTTGCATCTTTTTTTCGTAATTGTGATCAATGGATAGTTCATAAATCTACATGAGTCGCTTTAACGTAAGCGATCTGAACGGGAACTTGACATTTTTCAAAAGGTTCATTAGAATTTTAGTTTATCTCACCTTTACAAGAAAAAAAAACTGGTTTCTGTAATTTTCATGATATTTTTGTCTTGATACAGTCCTGCCAGTTAATTTTGTTATACCAAGTAAAATTCCAGAATCTTAGTAAACCTGTACCTATATATCTTAATTTTTCCTGTAACATCAAATGGGAAGGCAGTATTAGTAATTTTTTTAATATTAGCTTGTCATCAAAGACAATTTTAAAAAAGGATGTTAAAAAGGAGAATGTTTTAGCAAATTAAATTAAGATATTTATGTCTGCGTAAAAATTTGCATGCGAAAGTTATTCGTTAACAGAATTTGAAAATCGGTAAAATACGATGTCTATGACGGCCGGTTTCATTATACTATTTGTGAAAGTGACAGTGACATTTACAAGACAAACTTCAATAGCTTAGCAACCAAAATATGCAGGCAAAATTTTACAGTTGGTAGGACCTCTTGTGAGTCCGCGCGGGTGGGTACCACCGCACTGCCTATTTCTGCCGTGAAGCAGTAATGCGTTTCGGTTTGAAGGGTGGGGCAGCCGTTGTGACTATACTGCGACCTTAGAACTTATATCTCAAGGTGGGTGGCGCATTTACGTTGTGGATGTCTATGGGCTCCAGTAACCACTTAACACACGGTGGGCTGTGAGCTCGTCCAACCACCTAAGCAATAAAAAAAAATACAGGTAGATAGTGTATGAGAGAAGTAATTAGCTTACATTTTGTATTTTTATTCTTATCCCAAAACACTCTTGAAATTAAACGTATTATTTTTTATTACATAGTGCAAAGTGATTGCAATGGAACTAAAAATTTTACAGTTGGACCATTACAAAATTTACCATTTGAATAGATGTAACATGGTTGGTTGCGACTTGTAATTCTACAGAGATATTTAAAAGTGATTCATAAGCCAACACGTGTGCTCATAGACATGACAAGGGATAGTCTACCTGCTATACAAAGAACCCCAGCCTCTACTGCGTATCAATAACTTTATTCAATAATGTATTTGATACGTATATTCGGTAGGGACGGATATATTACCTAGAAGAGCTTAAATAACATTTTACATGGGCAAGAACATTATATAGCTTACGAATTTTCGGAGAAGTGTGGTTCGGGTAAACATATTTTGTTTGTACCTTAAAAATTGAAACTCAATTTCGGTATTATGTGTACTTATCATATTTGGAGAGATTTTAATTCGTCTAACAAATTATATTTCAGTAAGTATCAATCACTGTCTGCCAGACTTATTTAACCACCGTTTAATACGAGAAACAGCTTCATTGTGTTATCTTACGTAAGATATGCCGTGGAACATCGCTATTTAGCCATTGTTATAGCTACCATTATTATTCTAAAATAAGTTTAGCTACATTTATTGTTGTATTATATTCGAAAGTCAAAATTAAAAAACAATGCCTTGACACGAATCGTAAAAAAATCCGGATCGTTGAAGTCGTTATCTATGGTTCTTGAGTATTTCCTAAATGACCCATTCGTTTTTTACGCGTACCATAACACAAAAAGGGAAGAAGATGTCCAAGCGAAGCGTACAGTTTGGGAAACAAGGTTTTTGTCAAAAGCCTATATTTTACAAAGTTAAACATTTTAGTACAAATCAAGCTAAGTTATAGTTAAGTTCCAGAATAATAAAGAGAATGTGGAAACAATTAGCATTGGTGGTTTATATGAATCCGACAAAAGTGTTGGTCTCTGGTACAATTATAAAGCAGCACTGTTACTATCAGAAGATGTTATCTAATGTAGCTCTGACATAATACAACGATCTTATGTAAAAAAACGTTTTCTTAAAGTATTTCGTAATAAATAGAGGCGGCAAAACGGTAAATATTTGGTGCTTAGCCTCCGGAACGAACACGCGTCGCTTGCCACAGACTAAATGATGATCGCTATTCGTTATCTTGTTCTAAATCAGCTCATTTCGTCTATAGGTACTGTACTATAAAATGTATATCCATAAATCACACTGCAATGCTACTCGAAATTTAATCAAAAATATCAATTTTAATTTTAAAACATTGTTACGTTCCTTTTTTTTTAATTCTCATACCTACATAGCTTTTTCAATTCAAATACTTATATTTATTGTTTTTTTTTACTAAACCCAATATAATGGTTTGGTTAAATCAAATACATTGTGTTTACAAACCCCGTACATTTGAATTTTTGAACTCATTTAATATTTGTTAAAAAAAGAGCAAACAGCTATATCCTAGTCTTCTAGATTTGTTTTTTTTTTAAACAGACCTGCTTATAAATAGATGTAAATAAGTCATAAAAACTGCAAGGAGGTTGCAACGTTTAACCTCGATGCATTATTCCTTTCATAGACGAAAAGTTACGAATTAGTGTGGATAAAACAAAAAAGTAAGTAGGCGACAATCTCCTTTATATTCAGTTCAAAACAATTTTAGTATTTATTTATAAATGATAAAAATAGAAGGGTAAGTCTCATATGAGTGGGGATCATCAAAATCGGTTAACCTAGAAAAAGGTTTGATTGAGGTAACACACAAAAAAATACAGTCGAATTGAAAACGTCCTTTTTTGGAGTCTATTTAATTTGTGATACAGTTTGCGTGTTAGGTTCACGCAGGTATCAGTATGAGGTCGTTGCACGGAAACCAGATGTTGGTTCACTTGGACCACACCGATACAATGACTGGATGCGGCTAGCTGCAGATTTGTTCACACAACTGGTTAACGTACAGGCGTGAAATTCCGGTTACCCAGCGTACACCGTATCCCTCAATGGTAACAGTACGGCCTTGCTTTGAATGGAAGGTGTAATATCGTTTGAATATTTAAAGTTCGTAAAAATATAAAACACATGTTACATTTACTCAGTAACGGTATTTATCTTTATGTGTTTTGAATCGTCGCCCTCATCTCCTTTTTATCGTCGCACCTCCCGCCATCGGAGCAGAGTTCATCCATATTATCTGGAACCGATGCGTTCATCGACAGTGCGTTTCCAAAGATCGTTTTTGCCACGTACCATCCGGCTTTGGAATGAACTCCCCTCCACGGTGTTTTCCAAGCGCTATGACATGTCCTTCTTCAAACGAGGCTTGCGGAGAGTACTTAATGGTAGGCAGCGGCTTGGCTCTGTCCCTGGCATTGCTGACGTCCATAAGCGACGGTGACCACTTACCATTAGGTGGGCCGTATGCTCGTCTGCCTATATTGGCTATAAAAAAAAAAGTTGGGCAGTTTAACTAACTGTTCTACCTTGACACTAAAGAAAAATGGAGCATAATAATAAAAACGAGTATACCGTGTGCCTTAGAGCTATCCTTTTCCTTGCGTCGTATTCCTCACTGCTGAGGGTCGTGACCACCCTTTTGTATATCCTTCGTACGCATGATCTTTCTCCATAAATTTATGTCTCTGGCGGTGCGGAGGGCGTTGTGAAATGTGGAATCAAGAGCGGTGCGGATCCGGTCGGACCCACGTATTGGGCTGAGCATTTGAGGCCTTTTCCCATCCACCTTACCGGTCATGATGAGCCTCTCGAAATTGTTTCCATCCTTCCTTGCAATGTGACCGCAGTACCCAAGGACTTTGTGAAGACACTCGGATGCTACAAGGTCAAAGTTTCATAGAAAATATATGATACGTATGTATATTTCAAGTCGAGACGCGTTTGCGAAGCACCATTGCATTCGTAAAATCATTAATCATATATCATGACATATACATACCTAAAATCAGTTATTATCTAATATATTAATTTTGCTAGTTTGGACGGTTGCTAGTGTTTTTAGATATTAGTCTTGTGTTGTCGGTTTCGTTAGTGAACATAAATTAAGTAAATACGTTAACCTTTACTTCAACAACCTTAAGCAAAAATAATAGGATAACGGGACACAATATCGTTGTGTCAAGTAGCTGAATATAATTCCATACTTAGATAAATCAATACCAAAATAAAGGTGTCTATATTATATTACACATAGTAGCATGGGTTTCGTTCTGAAGGGTAGGACAGCCGTTGTACTGTTAAAAATGAGACCTTAGAAATCTTTTCTTAAGGTGGGTGGCGGCATTTACGTTGTAGATGTCTATGGGCTCCGGTAACCTTTGAACACCAGTCGGGCCGTGAGCTCGTCCACCCAACTAAGCAATAAAAATGACTACAAACTTGTTTCACATTTGACCTACATTCAGATTAGAATGAATATAAATGAGTTAATATATAGTAAAGAAAAAAAATGTAATAAAAAAAGGACTAATTTCATAAACACACTTTCGATTCTATATACTTAGTATATTCTGAATATTTAAAATAAAAATAATAGAATTTTTTTATTGCTTAGGTTGGTGGACGAGCTCACAGCCCACCTGGTTACTGGTTAAGTGGTTACTGGAGCCCATAGACATCTACAACGTAAATGTGCCACCCACCTTGAGATATAAGTTCTAAAGTCTCATGCCCCTTCAAACCGAAACGCATTACTGCTTCACGGTAGAAATAGGCAGGATGGTGGTACCTACCTACGCGGACTCACAAGAGGGTCCTCCTACCACCAGTACAAGTTTTAAGTTCACTAGTAACAGTTAGATAAAACTAAAATTACACGGTACTTGATGTTTGAATTTTCTATTATTGGACACCGCCATTATCCCCGTTGACAGAGCGATAGCTGAACAGACAGCGTGCGTCCGATCTCTGTCAATGAACTTTCTCTAAGCAACCTTGATGCGTTTATGTATTTTTGGCTTTTGAAAATGAAATTGATTTCATTTTTATCACTTTATTTTGCCACAAAGAATTTGGAGTTTCATTCTAAATTCCCTAATAATAATAATAATATTTAGACCTGGCCCACGAGACTACCACCATGTGGCATGTTGATTCAACCATCATTGTTCCAATAGTTGTGTCGGTACACGGTTTGATAGCGAAAAGTTTCGATCAACATCTTAAGAAACTTTCGTTATCCAGCTGGGTTAGGGGCCTAATACAGAAAGCAGTTATCCTCGATACTGCGCGCATTGTGAGGAGGTTTCTTACTCTGGAGTCCTAACCACTGGTGGCTTGTGTCGGAGACACCGCCATCAGCGGCAATCTATTTATATATAGTGTTTTTTTAAATTGTATTCCTAGTATCTTTTTTAAAAAATGTTGTCTAATTAATAAGGTTTTAAATAAATATAAATAAATAATAATAGAGAAACAATCCACAATTTTAACATTTCATTTGTTATAACATAATATTCATCAAATTTAATAAAACACGTTGTAAAAACTAAAGCTTCATTTCACGGTATTCCATGCGAATATACCACCGAATTCATCAAATTAGACCGATTATAATTTAACTCACATTGAATAATTTAGCGCAGCCACGAAGCCAAGAAATTGCGTTCAGAGACGCGATCGCAAATAGCTTGTAAACAAATCGCGTGCACCGAAACGCTTGGAAACCGTGGGAAACTATCACTAAAGCAATGTTGCTAACTCTTTTATCTAGATTTCGTTACATTTAGATTTGATAATTGCCCAGCTTTTGTTACATTTTTTTCTAAATTTTCTATTGTGGTATTTATTGCAGTATAATACGCATTTTAATTGCTAATCGGGACATTTTAGTTTGGGAGTGTACTCAAAATAATTCTTTTTAATTTTCGATTTCATATAACGATTTATATGGCTGTGTGTCTACCTAAATTTAAATGTTACATACTTTGAGACATGAAGATATATCACCAGTGTATAACAATACGGGCTATCCTTGAAACTAACAATGCGCCGTACCATCATTTCTCACGGCTCTACCCTAATAGGAGAGAGTTTGCTAACTATACAGGAGAATATTGAAAATCACATGAATAGTAGTAGCTCAAAAGTTAAATAATCGTATCTTCTGATTCGATTAGCTAATGCAAAATAAACTAATGTAATTCAAGATACTTTGGTCTGAAATTCATTTCATACTGTAAAGTTTATTTTGATTCTGTCACGTATAATATTCTTAGATCTCGCAACTCTAACATCAGTTTATTAAAACATTTATATGCAACCTTTTAATCCTTTATTTACAATTGACTTAATTTTTGAATTTTATAACACAAAATCAGAAAAAGTTACACCAAAAATGTGTAAAATTTTGTAGGCGGGCAACACTTTTTGAGAGAATGTAACGAATAATACGGGAGCCATGCGAGAAATGAAACTGCTCAATCACGTTTAGGATAAATAAAAATCAATGCTCGTGTACGATGCTCCCACATTTTATGAATTGCACGCTCGTTGCCAGTTTGCTTGTTTTATTACTTTTTTTTATCAACCGTTCGTTTTCAGTGCAACGAATGTCAGACTTTTTAGAAGTCTTATTTTTTAGGGTGCGGTGGATTTCGAGGTGCAGCTTAATTATACTTTTGCTTTTATTTTAATTATACCATCGTGGATTTTTATTGTCATTAAAAATATTGCTGTAGAATGAGCAGGCGAGATCACGACTCACCAGCTGTTAAGTGGATACTAGAATAACTAGAGCCCATAACTATAACAAAGCATAAACCACTGATCATATTAATACGTGAGGAGGAAATCTTATTCGTACCCTTTTCGCAACAAAAATACGTAGGTTGGTACCGGTATGTGCTTATTCCTTACTAACAGTCTCTTAAAATCAAACCGTGCGAAAATAAAAATATCTACAATTAATTTGTGACTAATTTGCTTGGCTTGGCTTGGAGCATTACAATAATGAAGATCCGCCTACGAACCTTGTCAAAAAGGTTTCGACGTGAGAGAAAGCGTTTTCACCTCTCTATATGGCATTATGCACATACGATCTATTTAAGTACCCATGAGTTTATTTTTGTCAAAATTGGACTACTTTTCCACAGATAAAAAATTAAAAGAAATAAAAATCAGCCAGGTACACATTTAGGATGTGAATGATTAGGTAATTTAGCTTGACTTTATCGGATACTGTAACAATAATTGTTACATGTACAACACAATAATTGTGATCACATGTACACAACAATAATTGTGAATGATTAGGTAATTTAGCTTGACTTTAACGGATACTGTAACAATAATTGTTAGCTTAGATTGTTCCGGGAACCGTACTACTAGCCGAGAGGTCGTAATGTGGCATATTGACTTCGTTTGTTCGACAAAGGCCTTTGACTCGCCTTTGATTTTGTACAGTTTTACCCTCGGAAATATTCCACGAGAATATTTGAATTTCCATATAATCTTTCATTTCTCGTACAAAAGGCTTTTGTGAATGACGTTCATACGGTTAGTCAACATTTTACGATTGAGATTAACTTGGAAGTGTATGAAATGGCAACGGCATTGTTACTTTCTGTCTTAATTTTTTAGACTGTTCACCATTTAAAGTACGACGAGATGTTTTTTATTTGGTCACAAGACGTGCCTATTGTCCATATCTTATCTTCTTTCTGCCGTGAAGCAGTCCTGCGTTGTACAATATAAATATGAATTCGACCTCATGTCTCAAGGTATGTGACCGCATTCACCTTGTAATGATATTAAGTTAGTCAATTAATCAGAAGTTAAGAGTATATAAACATCCCGAACTACTATGACTGCTTCCGCACCTTCTTTCCGCTGGCCTGATATTCTTTTACGAACTATTATAAGATTAACAGGGCTACCATAGTTTTCTGGCTAATTATGAAGTATGACTACTGTTTCTCCAACTAATAATATCCTTAATTTTGACTTATCTTAGTCTTCTCCCCCATTATTATCTTGAGGTTTCATCGAAAAATTCATTGAGTTTTTGTGCAAAAACATCTCGTAGAAACCACCATTTGAGAGAAACCACAGTACAACTGTCAGCTCATCTTGACAGATGACGTCATAAAATCAACAGCAAAAAAATTCAAAAATGAATTTTAGAAATAATAATAATATTATTTGACTTTTTAAAAAACGTACTTTAGTAGCAAACGAAAATAAAAATTAATTGGATTGAAAATTGATTATTATCCTGGCAACAAAAATTAGGCTAAAGTGATGAAATTATTATATTATTCGGTCCTTGATACATGTCAATTTTCAAGTCAATCGTATTAAAGTTTATGATTGAAATTATGTTGAAGTATTCCGCTACATAAATAAATAGATAGATAGATAGATACAGGTCACCCTAATGAAATTGTGTTAATTTTTAGAGATCAAAGATATATTGATGACACTATAGTATCATGTATGTATGTTAAAGTGTAAGCGAAAAATATGTTGTATTATACATGATTATGTAATGAATTATCTGTACAATATATCTACCACAATTTGAGTATAATGTTTACTGGTAATGCGTTGATTATGTTAATGGAGCTGTGATCAGAACTAGACAATTTACATAGATAATTAATAACGTAATTTTGATATTAGGTATTTGATAGGGCTTTTATGAAATTATCCGCAATTCAATTAATATCGAAACGTATCTATGTTTGTCTGATAATATAGTCTATGTTGATAGCTATGTGAATTTGTTACTTTATTGAACGTTAAGTATAGATTTTCTATCTTCACATACTCAATCTCCTTTTCCGTAATTATATTGAATTATCACCAGTATAATATCAGCTCTCGTTCTTTTTTCGAGGTTTCTTCTAAAATTCCGTACAGATAAAATTTTTTAGCATCTAAACCCTATTTTAATCATCTCAGTTTTCTGAAGAGATACAGAACTAATCTGAATACATAGACAATGTATTTTGAAATTCATATATTATTCGTGTATTATGTAGAATTCGTGACAATGTTTTTTTGTTTGTTTTTTAAGTGCTTTTGAACCACCGCAATCGCAGAAAAGCTCAGCACAGTGTTCATTTGCTAGAATAAAAATGACATTCATAAACTTACATATGTAGCACAGCCGTTATAAAATTGTCATTAATATTTATTATTTACTTAACTCACTAAGACTATTTGTTTGGCGATGATGACTTTAGTGGTATGCCTAGATTGATGATTATTAGAGGAGTTGATGAAATAATGAAAAATTAATGTCTTATTTAATAAATTGCATGTCAAAAAAAAATAAAAAAACATGTACATAGGTACAAGCACAGCACAAGCATAGTAAATTGACGACTCTCAGACACAGCCCACTGAGTTTCTCGCCGGATCTTCTCAGTGGGTCGCGTTTCCGATCCGGTGGTAGATTCTGCGAAGCACGGCTCTTGCTAGGGTTCGTGTTAGCAACGTCATCAGGTTTGAGCCCCGTGAGCTTACCTACAAACGTTAGGGTTACGCTGAAATAGCCTCTCAAGGCTCTCAGCTTAGGTAGGGAAAAAAAAAAGAAAAAAATTACGTCGTCGTACGTCGAATGTTTCGATCTGTCTCGGACTTCCGCACTGTATTGATAGTTACATAATATAAGCCATTAAGTGAATTTCCTTTTTTTTATCAATAGATTTAAAGACTCAAAACTTAGTTATCACATTTTATTTTTATACTAGAGGTCACGTAGTAGTCGAAATTCGACTATAATTAATTGGAATTGTAAGTTTGTACTTTATTATGATTGTATTTAATACTTCTATAATCACAAATTTCGCCAAGACTACAGTATAAAAAATATTAACAAAGACAAACAATATTTAATCTATTCTCAATTTGA